GTTGGATTTTCACACAATTTAATGCAAATTAGAGATTTTGGGATGCTGATACCAGCATCGGAACTGTCTCCTGTTCTGCCAAAAATGCAGGATTAGGCATCTGCAAGTGCAGAAATCAATGTGCCAATCTGATAGGATGTCTTCAAAGTATAATTGTTCATCCCAATAAAACTGCACTATTCTTTTCCCACGTGCAAGACTTTCATTTAGAGAGCAATTATCACTTCTATTTAGGGTAAGTTGCATACAGCTGTTGAATATGATATAACTTGTTATTTTAAGTACACTGGTATCAGATCTGTAGTCAGCCTCAGAAGTCCAGTTATTGGTATTGGGAAGAGAGAAATGGTATCGGAACATCTCAATTATAAGTGTGGTATATGGAATTATTAGATTCAGAAATATTACATTTTTCAGATAATGTATCTGGCGTCTGTTCAAGGTTTTGAAAGTAAAAGTGTTCATCTGTTGAAACTTTTCGGTGATTGGTAGGTGAAGACTTTTAAAGTCTATATGGGTATTGATAAAAACTCAAAGTAACGGAACCCCCTAGATTCAAGACTCAAAACTTGAACCACAATGTCCCTCATTCAAGGCTCATTCTTTGGTTCTACTGCAGCGGCCTCATGCTCAGTTCCGAAACTCAGTCTTATAATTAAAGGTTTAATGACCCAAAAAGACTTTGACTCATCTAACACTGGGTTCAAGGATCCATGAAGCAGCGCAGTGATGCTCTCTCTCCTCCCACACTGTGGCTTCACGTTAGTATTAAGTGTTGGAAGGCGTCACTACAGCCGACTCACCGGCCATAGCAAACTCCTGACTCCTGCAAAAACATAACTTCTCAGACATTAGAATAATGGAAACTGATCATCAGAACATAAACTTAGTATTGAGTTCTACAGCAGAATATTTTGTTTCTACTGTATGTTGAGAAATTGAGGAAGATATTTTTAAAAGGAAAAGTTTGGCATGGAAACTTACCGCGGGATTATGACTGTAACTCTGGAGCCAACGGCTCAGTAACAACATACAGTAAATATGTCTGAAGACACAATAAGAGACAGATGTAGAATACAAGAAACACACTATATTTTATTTTACACTCAAGTTTGTCACTGATGTAATAAACGTTGTGGTGTAGCTTCTCTATGACCTCTAATGACTCTGACTTCAACTTTTCATCTTTTTCTGTCTGTTCCTCCCACTCCCCTCGCGTTTCCCAGCTTGACACCGTGGAAGGTCAGCAACATGCTCAGTACACGATGCTACATGTCAACACACACACACACACACACACACACACACACAATATGGCACGTGGCTGTGGTCCTCCAGCTGGTGGAGAATCACAATCCCGTCACCTCGAGGAAAGCAGTGCGGCGGTGCGTTGCCATGGCAGCAGCTAACATTTGGCCTGTCGGAGCTTTGTTAGGTTGTCAGAAGTTTCCTGGTGCCCAGCTTTGAGTGATTAGTGTGAGGATGTAGGTGATCTGAACCCAAAGATGAGATATACGCAAGCTTGTGATTGACAACTAGAATTTTAAACATAACAGACCCAAGAGGGTTTTATACACCCAGTCTGGTGCTGGCATCTTCATCAGTGTACGAGTTGTGCTTATTACTTGTGTATTGGCAGGTTTACTTCCCCCAAAAAATCTTTTGCTCCCCATCTGTCTCTCAGGCTGTCTGTCAGATAAAGCCAACTATTTGTGTCTGTGTTTTTCTCTGAGTCTTTTCTTTTCTTTCTCAAACAGCGGAAACTGCTGAGTTCATTTGATCATCGGTGAGGATAAAAAGAAAGAGGAGGATTGGAATTCATTATCCATCGGTGCATAGATTTGAAGAGCACGGTTCAGGGTTCAAGGTAGCTCTTTCTTTTTTTGGCTTCCACCATCACAGGGGTTTGAAGCCCCTGAAAATCTCAGATGATCTGTAACATTTAAGTCTGCGTGTGGACTTTGAAAGTACAGCAATGCAAAGGAATGCTCATTTTAAAATCCAGTCAGAAATGCGTTGCTTTGCACACTTTTTCCCCTCTCATCACACACATCTGCATTTGAAGTTCCGCTGTGCAGTGGAGATGAGGCCATTTATAGTTTAATGCTTCTGATGCAGCCTATTCTCCAGACAGCAACTAGAGCTGTGCGATGTGACCAAAATCTCCCGATAGACATTATTACACCTCCAGATAGAGATGCATATCATTATTCATTAGCCTCTACTTGTTCTCGAACAGGAAAATGTGGGCCATGTCTTTGCAGATGTGATTTGCAATGGCAGCCGTTATCTTAATCCATCGTTGTGATTCTTTGCCATATGTTGAGTCATTGGTAAAACCTCTTGCAGTGTATACGTTTAGGTTTTTTTTTTGAGGACTTCACCAGTTGCCAGCTGGTGAAGTCTGCTTTGTATAGTCAAAAGTTGTTCACCGTGCCATCATTTGGCAAAAATGAAGCCAAAATATTTTGGATACGGCTGCTGCCATATTGCACTTTTGACATAATTTGGAGGGATTGTTACTCATTGTATAGAGGACTTTGTAGCACTCCATCCATCCATTTCTCTCTCTCTCTCACTCTCTCTCTCTCTCTCTCTATATATATATATATGTGATATACAGAGTGCTATATTCGGACACTACTCGTGCTGTTCTTTACGGTAAGTATGTCTTTGTTCTCTCCTCTGTCTGCAGTTTTTATTTTTCAATCTGTGTGAGCACAATGTATTATAGTGTTCATGTATATTGCTCAGTTAGTGACCATCGGTTTTAAACTACTTTACATGACACATTGTGGGATATAGTGAGTCAAGGGATATCCAAACATTCACTTGACATGGCAGGACAGTGTATATTGGATTGAGTCAAATAATAAACTATTAGAATAATATGAAATATTATCTGACGTTAATATGTCACATGGGCAGTGGCAAATTGAGCAAATAAATCACTGGTATTAAATATTCAGTCTTGTACCAAACAGTAATTTTGGCTTAATTACAAGTTTGAGTTTCTATGTTTGTTCATTTAAAGCCTGAAAGATACCCTGTGTCCATTAAAGCTGTAATTAACAGAGTCACTCCGCTCCATTGTTGCTGGTTGTTGATGTTATTTAGAAGAGCGGCTCGAATGTAATTAAACTGATAGGTGTATTGAGCGCCCTTGAAAGTGGAGATAAAACTGTATGAAAATTAATATGTTTAAGAAGGATGGCATTAAAGACGTCTTATTATAAACAGCTGTTTCATTTGATTACTGTTTGTATGAGTGTGTGTTTGCAGCATGGCTGTAAACATCCTGCTCATTTAATGTATTGAACTTAACTTCATGGAAAAACTGTTGAATATGCATCATTGTGATAAGAACTACGTAAAATAACAGAAACCATCTTTGAGAAAATGTAATTAAATGTGAATTTTGACCTTTTAGTTGGTCCATGTCCCATTAACTTACATGGAGGAGGTGGGGTTTAAGACCTATACTGCAGTCAATTTAGACAGTTTGGCTTCACTTTTTGCAGAGCTTATCCTTATCCTCTTATTATTGTATAATATTCTGGATATTTTGGTCTATAGCAATGCAGCATATTGTATAAACTGATCATATGTAAATTCTTAAACGGATAATTTAAGAATTTACTCATAATTAGTTTTGTCTGACAGACATGTAGATAGCAGACGAAGAGATGAATAGAAGTATAAAGTCTAATATGAGAAATACTGTAAATGTATTTTAGGTAAATGAAGTCAATTCTGAAATAGAATTCTGTGGTTTTGATTGACATTATTCGACTACTTCACATGGATGATTCCTCCGAGGTTTTTTTTGTCGTTAACTCTTCGGTGTGCACGCTGTTTCACGGTGGTTATGTCAGTGGCAGTCTGACATAACTTAAACGAGGCATCAGGATAAAGTCGTACAAGCTGTGAGAGGCAGTCACACCAGTAGTTGGAGGAGCCAATTATTTTCCAGTTTTAGAGTCAATGAGAATGCTCTGCTAATTATCGGAAACCCGAGCTCGCTCAGTTGCTGAAAAGCTGCAGATACTCCAGAACAATTTGCTGCCATTGAGTACCTAGGCTAATTAACGTCAGCCGCACATATGAAAGAACATTTGTTTCTTTAGTCATCCGTTTACATTAGTTGCTTTGACGCACAACCTCAACATCAGTGGTATTTTGATCAGCCGCGACACGGATTGTTCATGTTTTCTGTTTTGAAAGGAAACAGAACTTTCGGGAACCTTGAGCGTTGACCTTGTGATATTTTCGATTGAACTCTGCCGGTCGTGAGCTGTGGGAGGAAGAACTTTCTGTGAGACACTCTGGTATATTTACCAGACCTGACATATTTGTCTTCACTTTACCAGAGAGGACCTGGACACCCAAAGGATCACCAGCGAGGTCATTAACACTAGCGACCTGTATCCGGCTTATTGTTGCAGGATAATGGCTGGAACAAGATGGAACTGGGGAGCTATAACAAAGACAGACAGGAATGTGAAGTGGAGTCAGAAAAGATAAAAGCGATTGCAGACACATGTTGGGGGAGGGGGGGGGGGGGGGGGGCTTGCAGCTTCAGGAGGTTTGCAGGGTCACAATTCCTCTTATTTTGAAAAAGATGAGGTCACAGCTATGGCTGTTTAAACCATCTGAGAGGGTTTTCAAAATGGCTGCTGGCTCCAGAGACCGAGCTGTGGTTTTGGATGAGAGTTCCACGGCTTCCTGTGTGCGGGAGCTGTGGACAGATCGGCCAGGGATCTCTCCCTGTGAATCATCAAGGTTAAAGTGCAGATTGGGAATGATTTTGTCATTTGAATAGTTGGCAGCAATGAGAGGGAAACGATCAAAGGTTGAACATTAGACAGCATCTCAGCGACTGATTCGTATATTACCTGAAAAGATCTTCATTGGGTTTTATATAATATTCCCTGCTGAAATGCTGTATATGATGGTCATCTGTTCACATCTGAAATACTCTTCATCTCTCTTTTTTACAGCAGCAGAGAAAAGGTGGGAGTTTTTGGAATGGACGGTGGATTAGGTGAGTGAAAGAGACAAAAACCACAGCAAACTGTTCAACACAAAAAACTCACATTGAGTCCTCTGGTGTTCGTTCCGCAAGGGGTTGGTTTCTACAATTTTCTTTCTTTCTTGCAATTTTCTGAAATGCAAATACAAGGTCAGTATCCTCATTACACAAATGGAATATCAAAAACCTGAAACAAAACGGAGATGTAAAATACAGAGGAGTGACACTAAGATTAGAGTGAGTCGGGAAAAAAGCCTTCCCCCATGAAACAAATCTCTAAAAAAGAGCAGGGCATGTGTAATTACAGGAGTGGGCAGCACGTCGAGAGTGTAGGCGTAACTTGGCACCGTCAAAGGCAGGGGAATGAGCGAGGGAAGAGGGGAATGATGTTGTCACGATTGTGAAGAGATCTGCGAGAGACGGAGCAAGGCCGGGGAAGGGGACGGTAAATTGATGATGGAGGCAGAAGAAGAGAGGGACAAACAAAGTGAAATAAAAGACAGGCAGACTTTGAGAAAGACTTTACGGATAAGGACTGGTTGGCAGAGGCTCCAGTCAAACCAGCTGTTTCCCCAAACACCGATGCTCAACAGCAGACTAATAGGCAGAGTGAGTCAGTGGCTCCGTCTCCTGTCTCCCAGGCTGCCTGGAGGGGCTGTATTGATAATATCCCAGCCTGCGAAGCTCAATCCGTCCCCTGGGGCGCTCAGCAGCAAGTGGATGAAGAGTCCCCGGACGGTCTTTTGGCTCCACAGCTAGAGACTGCAGCAGAGGAAGCGATCTGAACACAGTAGAAAGACAGGTACATGCATGCACAGACACACAAACCATCACACTGGCTGAACGCCTTCCTGCACCTCATTTATTCTCATTTTGAGTCGCCCCTCTCAAACTCGCTGCAGAGTGAGGGGCAGAGAGCAATGATCACAGAGGAGGCGAGGAGGTGTACTAGGGAGAAGATGGAGAGATGGCGGAGAGAAAAGAGAGAGGAGAGAGAATGGCAGCCTGTGCCGAAGATCGTCCTCCTCTTTTCTCTCCCATCAGAAGTGCTAATCCAGCCGGTGGAGGTGCAGACCAGCGCTCACACCTGCCGTCTCCTCTCCATCTTGTTAGAGGGGCCAGATGGGAGAGAAAGTGACTTCCTGCTGTACCTCCACCACAGGGCTCATTCCGTCACATTAATACCTTTACTGCTCGGCTCCATTTGTTATACACACTCAAGACACACACTCAGGGGGAGCCCGGGGCTGTGAATGATGGTCGTATGCAGAACTGTGCTCATCTATAACCCCCTGTGGCTGGAACAAAGTACAGTCGACTCCTTGAGTGTTGGAACCAAGGTTAACATTTTGGAAGTGGTGCAGTGCAGCTTGATTCAGCCGCTCTGAGTAGAAGTACACCCAGCCAGAGTCGACGGGTTCATAAAGGTTAGTGAGGTGGGTTAATAGGTAGGAGGCCACTGCTTAAAATGTATATGTTTGAGAGCGTGTGCGTGTAAAAATCTGGCAGAGGAGCAGAACGAGGAGGTCGCTGGCCACTGTGAGATGTGGCCAATCAGGGGCCAGCAGCTGCTACTGGTCCCTGCATGGTGCCCCAGGTGCAAAAGTGTGTTAATATGTGGATGCGGAAGAAAGCAGAGCTGGAAAAGAGTGTGAGCTCAGCATAACCACATTGCCCTGATAAATAGAGTGAAAGAGTAGAGTAGTGTTTTCACCGGGCGTACATGCACACTACAGGTCTGTTAAAGAACTGTGAAGTTAATAATATGATTTATTTTTATGCACATGCACTAATCAAGCATCACTTCAAGCACTAGTTCAACAGACAGAACCAAAGAAAATGATTTTGTGAAATCTCTGTTCCCTATAACATCACTGCAGGGCTTCCCACAGCTTATCATAGATATAAAACCTGCACTCACTTTAGAACAATTATTTACTTTTCCATCATATATTATAAACCTTAGTGAAGTTTGGCAGATGCAGAGGTCAGGTATTTAAAGAATACTCTGACTGTTTGGATCCTAATTTAGTAACGACACTGATGAGACGTGTCAGAAAGTGTCTGATGCAGCTTAGCTGGAGACGTTCATTGATGGATCACATCACGCTCACGTCACTTACAGGTCATAAATCAGAGCAGAGGTTGTGTGAGGGAGAAGTCAATACAGTCGGTCAACCAAAACGTTTTACTGTCTTATGTGTATAATTCAAATCAAATATGTCTGTGGGTTATTTTAACCAATTCACTCATAGGTGAAACATATGACATTAAAATACTTTGCTTTGAGAATGCAGATGTATTGCAGATAAACAGAAAGACATCATATATATATATATATATATATATATATATATATATATATATATATATAAATAAATAAATAACCTGAGCCAGTGAGAGGAAGTGAGTGAGGACCACCCTGGGACCCCTGCTGAGACCAAAGATGGTGTAAACGATGCGCCACAGATTATGTTTTGCAGCATGTGTCATTGACTGTGTCCCTTTGAGAATACACACAAACAAACAAACACCCACATGTCAGGACGCAGAGGCAGGTGGGAGGCCTGAAAAACTAATAAAACACAGCAGTGAACATATGTGAACATGCTATACACACATACAGTGCATGCTGACACACACACACACACACACACACACAGCGGGCAGGTAGAGATACGTAATCTGCACACACACACACACCTTTTCATACACAGGCTGTAAACAAGCAATATTTGTCTGATAAGAAAGGTCAGTTTTGTCATTTGAAAGCACATAAACCAGTGCAGGCTTCACTTTTAAAGCCTCAGTAGAAAGGAAAAGGAGGACAGCTGTGCCTCTGGACACCCGCTCCGACGTCATAATTACAGAACAAATCACACTGCTCTTTTCCCTCCATTTCATTTCAAATAGTGGATTAAGTGCCACAAAAAGAGCAGAATTTTGAAGCCCTGCCATCTGTGTTTAGTACAACAGCAAGTGTGTGTGTGTGTGTGTGTGTGTGTGTGTGTGTGTGTGTGTCTCTGTCTCTGTCTGGTTCCTTATCTCATCTGAACCATCCACCTCTCACACAGCTCCCGGTTGGTTTTTTACTCTCCAATCCGGAGAGGTGGGCTTAGGGCCCTGAAACTGGGTCATCTGGGTGTTGGTTAAAGGGGGAAAAAAGGTCTGGGAGCTGGGAGCAAAGCTGCCTGGATCACGTACAGGTAGAGGAGAAAGACATAGAGCAATCTGTGGGAGGGGGACAAGGGGAGTGACGATTGGAAAGGTCAGGACGGAACAGCACAGCCCCGTTGCTGGGGGAGATATTTTTGGACAGCACACCAGGGTCGCAGCGCCAGACTGTCAGCCCCTGCTCTTGTCGGGTTGCAAGGGCCGTGGCCAAGGCGGAGGCTGGAGAGCCTCAAGGTCACGCCCTGCACCTCCTCTGCTGACAGAACGAGGGACTGAGAGAGGGATGGGTGGACGAAGACGGGGTGGAGAGGTCATGAGGACTTGCAAACAATGCAACTGTTTCTAAATAACACTGACTGACCTTAGCCGCTTCAGAAAATTCACAGAACTCCGCAGTTCCTCTGTATTTTCTCCGGCGCATGTGCATGTGTGAATGCAAATGTACGAGTGAGATTTTCTCAGTCTAGTCTATAATGTCCGTGGAATTGCAGGAGAAGTCGTTGAGAACACAGCAGCATCACCGCGAGCGAGTGGGTGTGTTGGAATTAACACAAGAAAAAGAAAAAACACGTAGAAGACACAGATAAAGATGTCAAGAGAGTTAGTGGTGATAAGAGCCGACACCGGTGTCTGTGTGATCTACGCAGTTAATACGACTCTTCCTGCCTCTGTCTGCTGCACCCGGCTGCTCCACCTCTCGCCTGAATAAATAAAGGATTTGATGCTGTTGTGAAAGTGTCTGTGCAGAGAACCTCCCACATGTGTGAAAGGTAAACTCTGGGTAAACTCCTCAGCCAATTCTACAGATTTTACCCGCAGGTCATGTCTGAAAACAGTTTTTCAGGTCAAGATGGAACAAGAAAGGGCTGCTGGGTACACACTCTCATTTCTAAGGCGAGTGACAGGTCAGAGGTGTCACCTGTCTGCGTGGGCCTCTGCTCTGAAATGTGATATCACTCCGAGGGTGACTCAGATAGCTTTGGAGCTGCTCGAGTAATGGATGTCAAGTGGACAGGAAGTTTTAAAACCCATTAGAGTCATCAGCCCTGAAAGTCAGTTTTTAAAATTAGTTCTGCTCGATTTTATTTGTCTAATAGCTTCAACCTCTACTCAAACTAATTCATTGTTTACAGGACATTTGACATGTTCAAGTTCAGCCCATCAAAAAGCTGCTTGTTGAATCACTATATGAATATTTGCATTTCTGCATCTCTGCAAAATGAGGATTTTTAGTTTTAAAGAGGCTAAATGGAAACTGCTGCATAATTTAGTGAAAAATTGTAATAATTGTCTGACAATAGCCTAAGTGTCTGCTGTAATTATCCTGACACTGTCTGTGCTGCATATATATATATATATATATAATAACAATTACAACACAGTGATTCTTCATAAAAATCAGGTAGTTACCTCTGCAAAGGTGGTCATGTTTGGATTGCGAAAACACTTCTAGACAAATCTCCATGATACTTGGGGGACTGGTGGGACACGGACCAAGAAATAACCCATTAAATTATAGATCTGGACAAAGGCACAGATCCACAATTTTCTTTGATTTTCTCTAACATTGCAAAACTGATTTTCAAGATAAAATAATCCTGATGATTTTACTTATTTTACGTGAGCATTTGGTTCATATCCAAACTAGAATGTCACTCAGTAGAACAAATACCTCTGCCAAGGCCCAAAAGTCCCCTTAGATTCAATCAAGCTGCACCAAATTGCACACACTCAAAGATATCAATTCCCTAAGTGTGCCTTTTCCTCATCAAGATGGCTGTAGATTATCTGCGGTGACTGCTGGGCCTTGGCAGAGGTATGGTGCCATTCTTGTTTTCTTAAGTTCTGGTAGCTGAATGGTTGAGATAAATATTGTTTATTGAGATTGTCCTGTCCGCACATCTTCCTGCCCTTGTTTTCTGCCAATAGAGTATTAGCTCCACACGGAAAGCAAAAAAAGCAAAATGCATTTTTTTATTTAGACCGTAACCATTAAAAATTACAGACCATCTGAACCTTTTCAACTAGCCCTCTCTTTAATGCTTTCTCTTTCCTCTCTCTTGTCTTAGGTTTTCTTAACTCTGCATCCAGGCTGTCTGATAAATAAATAGCCATCTTTGTGCAAGAAAAACAAACAACAGGAAGATAAACATGTGTTGTTTAAACATTTTATTGCTATGTAAAATTAAAAATCTCATTCCTCCAATGAAAAAAGGTTCTACTCTTAAATAACACAAACAAAGTCAGGCAACATAAAAAATATTTGGCATTGTGAGTTGATGTTCTGCATGTGTGAAAAAGTCAATTTGAGTAGATTTAGCAAAACAGATGTTATAAAATGTGCACAGTACTGTTTCTGTACACATTGTAAAAGTTGAGTCATCGATCATCTGATGGCGTCGTACACTGAACCAAGTAAACTGCTAAACATACAACATTTAACACTGTATTTAACTGAGGTCCTACAGTAGTATCATGACATATTAACCTGAAATAAATACAACCCAACTGAACATATGAAGCAGATGTGCGTATTATTGGCACATCCAATGAGTTTCCCTGGTACTTGTACCTACAGTGCGATGGGGAAAAAAGGCTGCAGCTGCTCGTCCCAGGAGAATAAATCACTGCTAGTACAACACGGTGCGTTTCAGCCGATGACCTGAATCATTCCACGTGCTGCACGATCTCCAAGTGATGCAACACATCACTATTATCCTTAACACATCCATACAATCGAGACAAGAAACCTATAGGTGAAGTGTCCTCTTCTGAGAGCAGCCGATACAAAGACACAATGCTTAATGACAAACACAGGACTTCAAGTATTTTCCGAACGCAACTCATCCGTTTTACCTCTACGCCCACGTGTGGGACTAAAATCTAGGCATGCAAACACGACTAAGATGTGCACCAACTTTCTCTTTCTGTGACAAACTGCAAAGTGCATTCACTGGGTTAGGAACTGGACGCTCCGAGACTTCAGTTTGGCTCCTGATGCTGTGGCGTCAAAGTCGGCTCGTTCTCTAAGAGGCAAAGAGGCGTGGCTTTACTACGTCGACATTCTAAACATTTTGTTGCTTAATAACAATGCTGCACCTACGACCACACAGGTAACACATGAGGCATAGTCATTCAAAAGTTAAACAGTTTGAATTATCCGGGCACCACCTCTTGATGATTAAAATTAAACATGGACATAAAGTGACTGTTATAACATTTATAAACATAAAGTGGCTGATATAAGTTATGAAATAAATTAAATTCTTAACACAGAAGTAAGAGAAAAGAATTTAGGCGGTAAAAATAAGCTTTTTGTTATTGTTTTTCTTTTTAAATCCACTTCCCAAACAAGGGAGAGCTTTTGTTGATTCATTCCATATTTGCATTCTGCATCAGCATTCACTGCATTCATGGAATACCTTACAAAATAAATAAGTACATAAATAAATAATCCTTGCATTGTTTAGTATCTGTTATTCTTTACTTTTACAGTACCATGACTTGTAACTGTACAGTGAGTAGGTATATTACAGCCGTTACAATGAGGGCTAAAGGGCGGGTCAGAGGGTACCGATGTTCTGCTGGTCTGAGCAGGGCCAAACTAAACTAAACTGAACAAGGCCCTTAAGAAAACCTCAGTCATTCAGCTTTCTTTGTTGATCTCCCAAGAGGGGGTTTGGCTGAAGGGTGAGGCTCCCATCCGGTGTCCAGAGCTGCCCAAAGATTCAGCTCCATACCAGGATGCTGAGATCAGAGTTTGGCTGGGTGAGAGTCAGGGGAAGGGAGCTGAAGTCAAAAAGGCAAGGTGTCAGTAGCCAGGGTTGCCACAGTGACCTCAGAAGTGGCCCATCCTGGCGGCGAAAAGGCTGCGGGAGCGCGGCATGGCCGAGGAGATGCGGCCAAAGCTGGACGAAGGCCACTTCGCGATGAACTGGGAGGTCACTGGCAGCACATACCTGGACAGGCAGACAGACAGGCAGATAGGCGAGAGCGAGGGACGCAGGGATTAGGGGGAAGGATGAACATAATGAGAGGATTAGATATGCAAAGGTCAAAATTTAGAGGTCAGGACGCATTAGTGCTCGGGAGTGAGACCCAATATTCCTCATATATTGACTCTGCCATTTATGGACTTCTCCATTTGCACATTTTAACTGACATCAATGACCTGATGATTTCAAGATATTACGGCTTAACCTTCCCTCTGAAAATGAGAAAGTAGAAGTACAAGAAGAAAAATGTAAAGATGAGGCTTAAACTGTGAGAGCCTTATGATCTGGGGTATTTTGTGTTGGGCTGTGTTGAACTTATTATTTGCATTATACTGCCAGTTATCAGTAAATTGTTTAATTAATGTGTGTAAAATGGCACAAAGTGGTAAGGACAGCTGAATGAACAGACCAGGGGGAAATCTTCACTTTGTCTGACCAACAGTTAAAAACCCAAATATATTGAGTTTACAATCACGTTTGACAAAAAGCATCAAACCTACATATTTAAAAAGCTAGAAAGAGCAGATATTTGCAATGTATGATTATTAAAATGCAATGTACCAGTACAGAAAATGCAACATGCATAGACATCCACTTACAGTCCTATTTAAATAGGTTGTATGCAGTATTTATGTATCGGCTCAAGTTATGGGCTTTGTACTGACAAAACCAGTTTTATTCTTTCATTCTTTGATTTCTCTACTAAATTTTTGGTATCAGGAACAGAAAATCCTCACCTATCATTCCGCGGCAAAGACGTCAGAACCTTTCTAAGACTTTTCTATGACACCTTCCACCGAGACAGAGCAGTGAGGCAGCTCCTGCTAACAGCGTTCCAGTACCTGAGAATGAGACCAGCATCAGGTTGAGATAAGAGTCAGGACGGGTTGAGCCCTGACCCCATCTTCCATGGTTACTGGAAATGAGTCAGATATGGTTTGTCAGAGTAATGTCAGATGAGATGATCGAATCCTGGGGGAGGTTAACTGAAGGTTATGCAAACTTTGTGGGACGACTGTTCAGAAGACAAAGAGACGGGGGGGGGGGGGCAGTTAGAATTCTCCCACACTGGTCAGTTGGAAGAGTAACTCCCATTCATATGGGCTTTTGCAGCACGTGTCACATTGTGATATTATACATAGTGTGACCTTAATGGCACATCTGCAGTGAGGATCTTTGACTAATAAAACTACATCTAATACTCGTTTAGTTAAACAAGTACAGCGGTCAAAAGAAATACTCCCTGTGGAAGTCCTTACGATTTGACAATCTAATCAAAAGGGAGTCACTGGGGCAGAGGATTACTGAGTGAAGAAATAATATCTTCTTTAAAGCTGCTGCAGAGATAGAACACTTTTTACTCTGACAGCTCCCTCTTTTTTGTGGAATAGCTCTTGGACAAATTAGCCGAGCGGCTTCTTCTTCTAAAGTCGACCGGAAAAGGGTGGGGGGTGTCGCTGAGGGCGTCCACTTCAACAGAGTCCCAGACCCGAGAGAGTTACTGAAGATTCAAATTAAATTCATTAAGTCCGACGAGAGTGTCCTTGAAACAGCTTCAAGTGGGCCATAGGTATCCCTCCAGCAGATCTTCTTCATCTGAGACCGGACTTGGGGGAACGAGGGCTCAGTCCAACACTTCTTTTAAAACTCCTCCATTCAAACCCCAGAGAGAGGTGGACAGGATCTGCTTTTGCTTTCAAGTTTTCAGATTTGCGTCTGTTCGGAGGCTCAAAGTGCAGTTTTAAAAGAGACATTTAGTGATTTTGTGCCATTATTTTCTGTCACAGTTCATTTCTTATGTTTCTCGCACTGTGTACTCCATCACGCTCAAGCTGTGAGAGTCACTGTATCTGCTGGGATCCTGTCCGTGGATCTGCAGTATTTCTGCTTTCTCTCCATTCCCATAAGGATTTCAGTGAATACCTCGAGTCCAAGTATGGAAATAATTGTCACACAAAAAAAAAACATATAGAAAATCAAATATTGAACATTCATTGGGGGGGGGGGGGAGTGTCTGTTCTCCAGAGCTCCTCTGCTATTCACTTTGTGAATATTCTGCTCATAGAATGTGGTGGTAGTGGCGAGGGGTGGGGTGTCCATGCGGCCCCATCTCTGCAGGGTGTATTTAATTGGACCCTCATTCTGCATCTTTCAGGTTCGTCCTCCTTTTGATCATAAAGAAGTGTCTTGGCAAAAAGGTGCATGTTTCAAAGCCAGAGGGAGGCATCTTCATGCACTCTGTGCTTTGCTCGAATCCATAAGTTGACAGGAAGACAGAAGCAATACGCTAGTGCTCCTCTGTACATGCAACGCTAAAGTCTACGCACTGATAGGCGTTCGACGTCACTCCTAAGTCCTCCACCGAGATGCAATTGCCACAGCGAATTAGGACGAGGCCAGACAGAATGAAATACCATGACTACGGATGGAGAGAAGACTGCCATGATAGCTGATGCAATCCTAAGCCAAGAGGTACAAGGAGGCTTGGAGGTTATCTGCTGCCCACATTCAGCTCAACACCCCAATTAACCCTAATTACAGTCACACTTTTCACACAGATGAAAGTTAATAAAATCTGAAACTTTTGTCATCATGGGGAAATTGTCTTCAGTTAGTGACAGTAATTTGAGGCTTAACATGAAAGTCATTAGCAGAGCTATTTGGCTTCTTCCTCTCATCTGCCCACACAGACTGAAGGACTTTGCTGAGACCCATGAGGCTGTTGACACACCTGATCAGGCCACTCCACTCAGGAAGGATGCTCGAACAAGAGCGGGCAGGTGTGGTCAACAATGGGAGACCCCAAAGACCTTCGCTAACAGACCCACTTTGATGTGTGCTACAGGCTGCCAAGAGCTGTGCGATGTGTGATGTATGTGTGTACATGCACGAGAGACATTTAACTGAATATATGATCCATCGTTTAAATGTGAGAAATAGTTTAGTCAGACCATAGTGGTTTGTGCATTATCTTGCACTGAATTGCAGAAGCTTAATAGAAATGGTGAAATTTGATTTAGAAATTCCCTGAACTTGAATTTTCTGCAAATATACTAATAGCCTATGAGAAAGGTTCATTCATAGTGTCAGTCCCAGCCCTAACCGTGGTGTTAGCCATGGTTGTAGGTCAATTCCTCACCTATTTCTCTGGCTTT